AAGTTTTATATTTTTAATATTCTCTACTTAATATATACAATTAAATTGTGCTATACAAATTGAATTCTTTATTTCAAAGATAATTGTGAATGGAAAAATATGGAAACAATTTACACCTATTATCCTTTGATAGGTAAATGTATATATGGCCAATTTCTCTAATTCATTCTTTCGTATTTATGATCATTGGTGTAGAATAGTAATTACAAATTGAAAAAAATATTAAATTTGAGAATAAATTGGAGGATGACTAATGTAAATAAAAAGAAAATCCAAATAAACAAAAAATTATAAATTCAAATCAATTAAAAAAAGTAGATCACACACACACACACATAATGTATATATGTTGAGAAATTCTTGAACAAGTAGGAAACAGATTTCTCCGTAATTTTGTTATTTGTTTTGTTTTGTTTTCTTTCCATTTTAGTAAAAAAATGCTAATAATTTAAAATTTTGAAAATAAATTTTTTGAAATCCAATTTCTATCAAATCCTATCAGTTTTGATAGAATTGTATAAGATTTTAATAAGTTAAGTAAAATCCCATTAAATTTCATAAAATCTAAATCCTATTTTTTATTGTTTAAATCTGAATGTTAAAAATAGAAATTTGAAATTCAAATCTCATCAAATTTTATTAAATGTCGAGTTGTCAAAAATAAAGATCATAGTTTTATATCTAATAAAATATATAATATTTTTTAACAATATTTCTTAATATTTTAAAAGTAAATATTTGATAATTTTAAATTTTTAAATGTACTTTTAAAAGTTTTTTGCCTAAACAACATTAACTTTTCTTCTTTTTCTCATTTCAATTAATGAATTAAAATTATCCATTTTTGATAAAAAAATTATCTTTTCTTAACTTTTAAAATTTGAAAAAAATTGTAATTCTTTGGAATCTCTTTAATTTCTGTGATTATGTTACATACCAAATTATTTATTAATGGATATGAATATTGATAACTGGTATTAACATGGATATGAATTTATGTATGGATAAATGGTATTTAAATGGATATAGATATTAATATGAATAAATAATATTTAAATGGATATGGATATAAGTAAATAATTCTTTATCCATTTAGATATGGTATAAATATAGATATTAAATTTTTATTCAGATATGGATATGAATATTTCAATATCTCACTCGAACTAACCCATTTACATCCTTAGAAAGGAATGACCCTTTTTACAATTTTGTTTTTTTTTTAGCCCCTGATTTCTTTCTCATTTTTTAATCCAGTCCTTCAACTCTTTGAATATCAATTCTAGCTTTAAAAGTTTTGATTTTTTCACTTATACTCTTACAGAAAACTTTGAAATTTTGATTTCATTTAATTAAGTCTAATTTTTAATTAATTGAAAATGAGTAAACCAAACATATTTTCATTTTCTAAAAACAGGAAAGAGTAAAGTAAACCAATGCATTTTCTAAAATTCAAAATTTTAAAAATCAAAATCCTTTTCAAAAAATAGAAATAAAAATTGAAAATAGGAACATTTTCACAAACCAAACATCATCTAATTTTTGAGTAGAAAAATGCCCCTAAAATTGGAGAGTTTTTGAGTAGAAAATGCAATAATACTTTACGTAAAAAATTTTTAATCAAAAAATATCTCGTATGAAAATTTAGTGACCATTATATTGTCTAAATAAAAATAAGAAAAATTATAATAATTTGTTTTCTTTCACGTACTTATTTCCCAAAATAATTGTAAAGAAAGAAAAAAGACAACACCTCTAAAATACGGAACCCCATCAGCCCGGAAATGCCATTTAAGCATCACGCGAAGCAGGTTGAGTGTACTCCAGATAGATACGTAAATCGGTCGGATTCGGATCAAATCAGGATAATTTGAATTTGACCTAAAATCATATAAGATTTTTACTTATTATTATCAAATCTAAATCCGATAAAAAATCTAAAAATTGAATAAAAAATTCGATCCAAATATCTGTTAATAATAATTAAAATTAAATAATCAATAAGTAAAAGATATATAAATCAAATAAATTATTATTTATGAATGATAAAAATTCATGTAAGATTTATGTTTAATTATTTTACTTTTATAAAAATATAAATAAAATTTAAAAATAAATTATTATTTATAAATGATTAAGAAAAATTTTTGTTATATAATATATTACAAAAGTGATGAGAGTATTCCAATACTTTATTAAATTATCAAGTTTTATTTGTATTATAGTTAGAATTTAGAAAATTTTATAATCAATTTATTCAAGTATTTCATGAAATTTCAAAAATAATTAGTTATTAAATATAATACTTATTTGAAAAACTAAAATTAAGGAAAGTAGAAGAATATTATAGATTAGTTTAGAAAAAATATACATTATTCTATTAAATAAAATGTCTTACAAATACAAATTAGTGCATTATTAATTATAATGTCATATATATTACATTATATATAAAAGTATTTATTAATATATATAATTATTAATTAAATAAAAATTATTGTTAAAATATTTAGATTCAGATTTTTATCTGATCGAATTATTTAATTCTATATCCGGTCCACTTATTTTAAATTATAGATATTTATAATCGAATTTAATCTATCAGATATTTTAATCAGATAAACAGTTTAAAATTCAGATCAAATTCAGATTAAAATATAACCCATTAATAGCTCTACTCGCATATGCTCCAATCCTAGAATTACTTATATCTTAATTTAATCTCTTAATCTAATCATTGTGTCAGACGTACTTTCTGCAATTATTGGAGATTGGATCCATCGCTCTCTGCACCTAATTAACATTAATCTAAATAAATTTTTACAAGAATGTTGACTATCGAAGTTAATCATAGTCTCCAATAAAAAGAGTATCACATACTCACAAAAAATATGAAATTCAATTTTTTATTAGAGACGAAAACAGTGCATTAAAATTCATGAACATAACTTCTCGCAGTTGGCTGTCAACAGGTCAAATTTAAATTAAATTAATTAAATTTAAATTTAAATTTAAATTAAAATTTAATTAAGTTTATTTATATTCAAATTTAATCTAAAATCTTATAAAATATATATTTATTAAATTATATCTAAATCTAGTAAATAATTTAAAATTTAATAAAAAAATAACATACTTTTATATTTAAATTATTTAAACCTATTTTATTAATCATATTAATTATTACATTTTTTAATTTTTTTAATTTAGTCTTTATAACTTTGAATTTATTTATATTATATATAATTATTAAAATTTAAATTTGAATTTTCAACAGATCAAATTACATAATTTTATATTTGATCTATTTATTTTAAATTATAAATATTTATAATTAAATCAAATCTATTAAATATTTTAATTAAATTTTAAAATTTAAATTAAATTTAAAACAATTTCGAATTAAAATTCAATCAATTGAGAAACTTATTTGCAGCCACATACTTCAGCTTCATCTAGAAGGCTGCTTATATCCAACTTTTCAATTTTTGTGCCGTAGAGTCTTTGAAAGTATACGTTACTTGAAGTACAAGGGATTAACTTGATTTAAAAAGCTGTTAAAATAATTAATTTTCAAAAAGTAAATATTTTTAAATCAAATATTTTCTAAACCAAGTTTCCGGATGGCTCCCCCAACGTGTGGCCGAGAGAGATCACGAAACCCATCGAACAGACACCATGAATTCTCAAGCAAACGGACAAAGAAGACAGACAAATTCTTTTTCTTTTTCTTTTTTAGTTTTTTGTTTTTGCATAAGAACAGACGTGCGTAACACGTTTATGTTTTGAGTCTTGTGTTTTCAGGGTGACAACTGCTGCTGAGAAAATGACAAAGTGCTTCCGTAGGTGCTGACGTCAGGTTTGGGAAAGGAAATAAAGGTTCTTGACGATGAAACCTGCTTTTTATACTCTGCCACGCCATTGAACGCTTTCCCGATGGATCCTTGGAGTGGCTAATTGAAAGAACCTTCATAGCTGAAGGCTCAATCTGAATAATAAACTAATTATAGGATTTATTTGAAAAAAATTAAAATTGGATGTCAAACTCGGAATATACGATAAAAACTTCCAACAAAGTCTTTAAGCAAAACCCATTTATCACATGAATAAATTAAATGAAATAATTTTAAAAATTTTTGTTCTTTTTCCTTTCCTTTCTTTGGCCATTGTTTGATTGAAAAGTACCACCTAAAGATTATTTTTTTTATTTTAAATCTTATTTTTGGTTTGGGCAGCCATGTGGTGTCTCTACTCGAGTAGGTAAGGAAAGGGCCCAGAATGTTAAAAATTGCAAACGAGGGCTCCACCTAGATTAAATATTTCATTTTCAATCGTTTGCCTTTTGATTGTCTTACGCGTAAAATAGTAAATTTTATAATATAATATAAAAATTAAGTTGTAATACGACACATGTAAAGAGAATGTACAAAAATGTGGTTTATACAAGAAATCAGAAGCACCGTTTGGGGACTCAATAATTACAACTTTTTAAACTTATTTAATTTTTATGTTTGACTGCATATACTTCTTCTTGAGGTTTCACTTCTAAAAAATAATTACAAAGAATTGCCTATATAATTGTTAATTTATTTAAAATAATTAAATATCTAATTCCACAAAGAAGCAATAATTGTCCTATGATTGCAACTTACACTAGACTGTAACCTTCGCGAATACCAAGGAGGCAGGGGAAGGTCACTGATGCCTTTGCGTTGTTCATCCTGATCTCCATCAATAAGGACATCTGAGATGCCAGTTCCCTGAAGAACAGTTATCAACAGGAGACAGTGAGCCCACACCCCCACGTTCTTCAAAACTACCATGCTACCTGCAAAGACCTCTTGAGTCCCCAATCAGACTTCCTTCCCAACGCAAAAAGGGAAATAAAATATCACCTATTCTCATTTTAGACTAGTCTTCTCGCGCCCCTAATAAATTCTCTCTCTCTCTCTCTCTGATTGCCGAGAGAAGGGAGGTCGGTACTGCCCAAAGAAAATAAAATGAAGAGCAAAGACGGAGTGGAGGAAGCAAAGGTGCCTTTGTTAGAATACTCATTATCTTCATTCGAAGGAGATGATTGTGAGCTTGACCTAAAAACAAGAGTGTGGATTGAATCAAAGAAGCTCTGGCACATAGTGGGGCCATCTATCTTCAGCCGTATCACCTCCTATTCCATGCTCGTCATCACCCAAGCCTTCGCTGGCCACCTTGGCGACCATGAGCTCGCCGCCGTTTCCATCGCCAGCAATGTCATTGTCGGCCTTGACTTCGGCCTCTTGGTACTCTCCACCAATCCTTTCTATAACATATTTGATCTTATATGTGTTTCAAATAAGAATGAATTAATATGGTTAACTTTTTTAATCAAAGACTCAAATTCTATTGATGAATATTAAAATTTTCTTTCTAGATTTTTAACTTTATTGCGCTTAAGAAGTTATAAAAATTTATTCTTAATTGATTTTGGAGCTTCTCCCATGCCCTCTTATGTTTTCTTTGATCAGTTGGGAATGGCGAGCGCTTTAGAGACGCTATGCGGGCAAGCCTTCGGAGCCAAAAAGTGCCACATGTTGGGAGTGTATATGCAGCGTTCATGGATTGTTCTGTTCCTATATTGTATCCTTATTTTGCCCTTGTACCTCTTCACCTCTCCCATCTTGAAGCTTCTGGGACAGCCGCCGGGGGTGGCGGAGCTGTCGGGGGTGTTGGCACTGTGGATGCTTCCGCTCCACTTCAGCTTCGCTTTCCAGTTCCCCCTCCAGAGGTTTCTGCAGAGCCAGCTGAAAATGGGGGTGATTGCTTGGGTGTCTTTGGCGGCGCTGCTAGTGCACGTGTTTGTCACATGGCTGTTCGTTTACACACTCAAACTTAACGTGGTCGGGGTGGCGGTGACGCTGAATTTCTCTTGGTGGGCTTTGGTCGTTGGGCTGTTGGGGTATACGGTGCTCGGTGGCTGCCCACTCACCTGGACTGGATTTCCATTGAAGCCTTTTCGGATCTGTGGGAGTTCGTGAAGCTCTCCGCTGCTTCTGGGGTCATGCTTTGGTACTCTATCTACAATATTTTCATCTATTGAAAAATTTTTATTTAATATTTAAAAACAATAATTTCTTTTATCCTCCACTTTATTTAATGATCAAACAGCTTGGAGAACTGGTACTACAGAGTCCTGATACTGATGACCGGAAACCTGAAGAACGCAGAAATCGCAGTTGATGCCTTGTCGATTTGGTGATAGTCTTCCACTCGTTATTATTCAGAAAGAGAACACTTTCAACAGATATAAAACTGAATTTGATTTTCCCTACGGGGTTTTTGGATTTGAGAATATATGTTTTTTTTTTTTTGTCTTTTTGCTTTGGCAGCATGAGCATTAACGGGTGGGAGATGATGATTCCGCTTGCGTTCTTCGCCGGAACAGGGCAAGTAAAGCAAACCCATCTTCTCTTTGTTTTATTAATGTAGCTATTGTTTTCACAATCCAAGATATATGAACAAAAGTCCACCTTCCGTATCTCTTCAAGGCCGCTTTCCATCGGAGTTTGGCTGTCGACCACTAGACCCTTGTCCCATCAGGATCATCAATAGTATATTTATTTGGATTCTAGTCTTGTCCTTAAAGTATTAATTATAACACATTTAATCCCAAAAGTTTAAAAATAATTAACATTTTAATCAGAAATTTCAATTTTTGTACATGAAAAGAGGGAAACCTTAGGACCATTATTTTCCAGTTTTAGCATATCGACTTCTGTTTTTTAATGTAAAATCTCATAAATATTATTTTAAATACTATTTTAGGAATACATATTCTAAAAAATAGAATATATAATCTTAAGGATTTGTGCTTACTCTTAGAAAATTTACTTCATTTTTATTAAAAAAATATTTTTCTCTCCGTAACTCCTTCGCACTTACCCAACTCTATACACACACAAGTCTAACTCTATATATATCTGCCTACGCGCTCATACTTATAGGTATATGTGCATATATAAATTTTAGTCTTTTATATTTTAATTTTATCAATTTAGTCCATATATTGATTTATTAATTTATTTTTTTATTTATATTAACCTCCAACGTATTAATTGCTTCACATAAAAGCTTGTTTCAAAAAAATGCTTAAAAGAAAATATTGTCAAAAAAATGCCTTAAGCTGTATTTGGTATCTCTTTTTGGATGAAAAGAAAACAAAAGAAAATTGCCTGAAGAAGGAAGAGATCCATAGTTTGGTATCTCACTTCGGGGAAGAAAATAATAATTTAAATTAAAAAAAACTTATAATATTAATTACATTCAACTGAGTCTTCAAAATATTTTTTTACATGCATTTCTGTTCTTTTCCTTGTATGAAACCAAACTGAGGAATATACACATTCTTTCTTTTCCATTAGATGATACCAAACAAGAAAAAAAGAAAAAAGTCCCTTCTTCTCCCATCCTTTTTTTCTTTTCTTTTCTATATTATCTCTTATTTTTCTTTCCCTCATGATACCAAATATAACCTTAAAAATACATATAATATATGATAAAAGAAAAGTATTTCAATTGTTTCTAAAATATCATATCTCAAAGGTATGATTTAATTTTAAAAATATATATTTTTGAGATCACAAAAGAACAATTCCTTAATTTTTGTACGAGTGTGGGGATTGTGTTGATTAATAAAATAATATTCTTGTGATTTCTTAATTGCAAGACCAGAAATTAAGAAGAAATTGGAATTTCAGTGAGCAGATGTGGAGAAAATTTCGAGGTTTATTTTGAAAAGTTGAGAAAATTTTAAAACTAAATATATTGCTAATGGAAAATATGACAATAAGAGATTGCGAGAATCAAAAATACGTCTTTTTTACTATATAAATAATGAATAATTTAAATTTCTACTCATAGAATTGATTTGATCTTTATAAAATCATTTATAAGCGTTTTGACAAACTGTGGGGCTATAGATAGTGAGATTTTAATTTATTGGCATCTAGGACATTAAGGTTTTGGACAACAATTTCTTATATTGTATACCCAGAAATTAGATATTATGAATTTACTTAAAGCTTTTTTTTCTAAAATTTCAAATTAGGATATTGGGGATCTAATTAACTTAAAAAATTAATATTTTTAAACTTCAAAATCACTTATATCGTTGCATCCCTAAATTAATTAAAAATATATATATTCTTCTCGTTTTACTTTTCAACTATTGTCGTCGAGCAAAGAGGGGATGAACGCTTGGGCTAGCCGACTAGCTATCAGATTTTGCTTTCTAAATGGTCCGTAGTTTTGGTTCGCCTTTCATTATCAACCCTAATTTCCATTTGGTTTCCAGCTAGGTTTTTTCAATCACCTTTGTCCAATGTCTTGTCCATTTCTTTACAGCTGTTGCAAATTTCTGGACCTGCGTTTTCTGACGAAAATAAGAATGAAATAAAAGATATAATTTTCTTGGTCATTGTTGCTCTATAAGTAGTGAATGAGAGATTAGATAGACGAAGGGAGAATTTGGCAGTTTTATATTTGATTTTTCAGGGAAAAAAATGACAAATGAAGAGCAATCTCATCTGTGGATTGTTGTGGGTATGTATAATACAGAGTAAGGGTTGCAAATGAGCTTGGGGCAGGCAACGGAAAAGCTGCGAAATTCGCGACGATGGTTTCCGTGGCTACGTCGACGGTGATTGGCCTCGTCTTCTGGTTTTTGATTCTCATCTTCCACAACGAGCTTGCCCTAATTTTCTCCACCAGCAAACCGGTCCTGGAAGCAGTAAACAAGCTTTCGGTCCTCTTAGCTTTCACTATTCTTCTCAACAGCGTCCAACCGGTTCTCTCTGTTAAATGCTTGCTTCTTGATTTTTACTTTTTGTTTTTGGGTTCATTAAATTTTTTTAAACTTATTTGTCATTTTTTTACTATGATAAATAGGAGTTGCCGTCGGATCGGGATGGCAATCCTACGTTGCCTACATTAATCTGGGCTGCTACTATCTGATTGGAGTGCCTCTTGGATTTATTATGGGATGGATTTTCAACCAAGGAGTCATGGTGTGTTTTTGTCATCTCTCTCTCTCTCTCTCTCTCTCTCTCTCTCTTTCTCTCTCTCTCTCTCTCTTTATATATATATATATATATATTTTTTGTTGTATTAAATTTATATATATTATATATTTTTTGTATCTATATGTATATCTCATCTTATTCAATATTTGGTGCAAAGTTGAGTTGGCGACACACACTGAATATTTTTTTTGCGAGTATATGTATTATAAATTTATTATAAAACGCTTCCATTAATTTTTAAATTTCGTATCTATCGAAAAATCTGTGCTCACCATTTTTGGAGTCTTAGTTTCGCCATTGCTGCAAAGCGGGGGCTTCAATACAAATTATCTATTTAAATGGGGTGGTTATAAAATATCTGGTCATTCTTCGGGCTGATTATATTTGATAAATGATCAGGTTTATTATGATTTATTTGTATGAATTATAAAAATAAAAATGCAATTTACCTGCTAATGGACATTGTTAACATGGCAGGGTGTGCGGGCGGGGATGATATTTGGAGGAACTGCGGTTCAGACATTGATATTGGCCGTGATTACTTTTCGATGTGACTGGGACAAAGAGGTGATGCACAAGGACCCGTAAAACTATTTTTTGCAGTTTCTTCCTTCAAGTTTTATCTGTTCGCAAGTCACCCCACTCATTAATTGATGGATCGTCTATCTTGGAAATTGCAGGCAGAAAAAGCAACCATGCATGTGAAGAAGTGGTCAGAGAGGACCTGAAATTGCCATTTTCGGAACACAACACCTTCAACCCAACTGAATGCTTCAGAAATGTTTAGGCCTTCTAAAAGCATTCTGTTCTTGTCCTATCAACAAAAAAAAAATCTTTCTATTTTTGGGATTGATAATTTAAATTTTCTTCTTCCAGAAAAATTTCTCACATAGCTGTAATTTGAAGGTGGAACAAACTAGCATTCAAACAGAAGTTTGTACATTATTGATTGTTATGACTTATCTCCAGTAGTAATGCATTATTGTTGTACAAATTTCAACTATTTGTCTACTTATGTAGAAATGAGAAAGGAGAAAAGAATTTGAACCACCAAAATGGTCCTCCCTTGGGCCACTGGTTTGTAGTCAAGTGATCCAGAAAACCTAAAGAGTTGTTTGGCTTTACTAAGTAAGAGATATTTACAATAGTTTAAAGTATTATCTATGACAGATGTTTATCTAAAAGAATGATTCCTTATTAAGATAAAATTGCTTAATGAACGAGATTTAGACAAAGGAATGAGAATATAGGTACATTTGAGATGAAGTGTTGCACAAACAAAACACCAAAACAAACAAAGTCAAGTGAAGGGTATTGTTTTTTGTTAAGTAAAATGTATTTAATTTATTTATCACTTTAAATTTTTAACAACATATTTATATGTTTAATAAAAATCATAAGTCGTAGATGACTAAGTTATTTCAAGCAGTGAATAAATAAATAAATAAGTTTTAGTATGTCTTATCACCTTATATATAAATATTTTTGACTTTATATTTTTATAATAGTTACTTATTCTATTAAAATAAGCATTTTATTCAAACAAATAATTTTTTATTTATCAATAGTTTAAATTATAATTTTAAATAAATAAAATCAAGTGGAACTAAACTTTATCCAAGTTGTAATATTTCTTAATTATAAATAAAAAACTGTCAGCAAAATATATTTAAAGGTTAATTTTATTAAACTATCACTAAAATATCACTTAAACTCTTAAAATAAAAGCACATCATTTATCTCCGAGAGTTTTAATAACTATTATGTGACCGTTTAAATTTTGCTCACATTAGCGAACCATAGAACTGTTGAATTTTGTAGACATTTTTATCCTCCTTACATTAACCTCCATTAAATTATCATCAATTTATCAATTAAATTCTTTAACTAAAAAAAAAAATTTATTTACCTAGTCCATGTTAAATTTATTGATTAAAATTAATAAAATAGATAATTTACCTAAATCCGCCTAAGCGATGAGTTGGTGGGTTAAGAGATGTAAGAAAGGATGAGGAGAAAGAAAAGGTCAGAGGGAAGAAAATTGGTGAGCTGAGCATCAAAAAATATATATTTTATATTATATATAAAATAAAAATATAAAATATATTTATATAATATATATGCAATATATTAAAAAAAGAGAAAATTTGGCATGCCATTTTTTTAAAAAAAATATTTGCTTTTAAAAAAAAGTTTTGCAGCTCATCTTCCTCCCTTAAAAATCCCAAAACCATCTTCTCCTTGTGCAACTCCCTCCTCTTCCTCACCCAAAAACCCAAGCCCCCTTCCTTTGGAGAGAAGCTCAATTATTTTTTTCATAGACACAGAGTAGTTTTAGTAATATGCATGTGAATTTTTTTTGTAATTCTGTGAGCAAGTTAAAGATATTTAAGTAAATTATCTATCTCATTAATTTTAACTAGTAAATTTAATATGTGCTATTAAAATTAAAGGTAAATAATTTTTTTAAGTTAAAAAATTTAGCTGATAAATCAATGATAATTTAATAAATTTAATGTAATAGGAACATTTTTATATGAAAAATTTAACAATTTTATATTTTATTGATATCAGTAAAATTTAAACTGTTAACGTAAAGGCAGTCAAATTTTAAAAAGATAAATGATATTTTTTAATGAAATATTTAAGAATGACGAGGTAATAATTTTTAAAAAATTAACCCAATATTTGAACTTGTTTCATGTCGCTTTAAAGCACATGGAATGTCTTGCTGCTTCGCTGCTTTGCGATTTAGAGACCCTTGTATACGATTAACCTTTTATGACTGGTTTAACCATCACATTTCATTGATCTGCACTATTACAACATCTCTGATCATTTACAACGCCTCTTGAACGTGTTTCTCTGGTAGCCGTGAGCAGTCAGCCCGGAGCCTCACGTGTCACAATCGCCACACGTATACCCAGACGTGTCACCCCATTATGGGCCTATGCATCGACCTTATATCACGACTCGCGAGCTAACGGAATGACGGAAATCATTTGCAATTTATTTTCCTTGGAACTCTCTCTCTCTCTCTCCCTCTCTCCCTCTCTCTCCCTCTCACCGAGGAAAATGCTGTGCCGAGATTCGTCGGAGGAAACAAAAGCGCCCTTGCTAGAATACTCTCCCTCCACCGTCGGATCGAAGTACGACGAAGATGATCAAGACCAAAATCTTCCAAGGAGGGTCTGGGTTGAATCGAAGAAGCTGTGGCACATAGTGGCCCTGCCATCTTCAGCCGCCTTGCGTCCTACTCCATGTTCCTCATTACCCAAGCCTTCGCCGGCCATCTCGGCGACCTCGAGCTCGCCGCTCTCTCCGTCTCCACCAACGTCATCCTCGGCTTCGACTTTGGCCTCCTCGTAAGCACACTTGTTTTTTCTCTTTAAGAATTACTGTATGTCTTTGAGTTTCACCACGTATGTTTAAAGTTTTTACCTGACGTTTTTGTTCGCAATTCTTTAGCTGGGTATGGCAAGTGCTTTGGAGACGTTGTGCGGGCAAGCTTTCGGAGCGAAGAAGTTGCACATGTTGGGGGTGTACATGCAACGTTCGTGGATAGTTCTGTTTGTGTGTTGTGTTCTGCTTTTGCCTGTTTTTGTTTTTGCTTCTCCGGTACTAAAGCTGTTGGGGCAGCCTGTCAACGTGGCAGAGCTGTCGGGGTTGGTGTCCGTGTGGCTGATTCCCATTCACTTCAGCTTTGCTCTCCAGTTTCCGCTGCAGAGATTTCTGCAGAGCCAGCTGAAGACGGGGGTGATTGCGTGGGTGAGCCTGGGGGCTTTGGTTTTTCACGTGGTGGTGAGCTGGTTCTTCGTGAGCAGACTTCATCTTGGAGTGGTAGGAACCGTTGTTACTTTGAACTGCTCTTGGTGGGTTCTAACGTTTGGGCTGCTGGTTTACACCGTATCTGGTGGCTGTCCTCAAACCTGGACTGGCATCTCGGTTGAAGCATTTTCTGGCCTGTGGGAGTTTGTCAAGCTCTCTGCTGCTTCCGGAGTCATGCTCTGGTACATCGCTCTCTCTGTGTATATGTCCATCTTAAATACAAACTCTTTTAATGTACTAACATTTTGCTTTGCTTTGTGAATTGTTGAAACAGTTTAGAGAATTGGTATTACAGAATACTGATTGTGATGACAGGGAACCTGAAGAACGCCGAAATTGCCGTGGATGCTTTGTCCATTTGGTAAGTAAGATCCATGTTTATCTCATCAATTACAAGTTAAACCCCGTCATTTTCACACTGCTTGTCACGTTATAATAAATTACAATAGTAGTCTACGTAGAATAATTTTAAAATCATCTTTCTTGTTTTATTTTTATTGCAAAATCATTCTTGAACTTTTAATGTTCAAGGATAATTTTATTAAAATATCCAAATTTGAGTGATAATTTTGAAATTCTCCTAAAATATCAGCCATTACTAACTTATATATTGTTAAATAAAAAATTAATATATATATATATATATATAGCAGTGATGCAAAAAATTTTAAATTAAAAAAATGTCAAAATAAAATTTTTTGAATAATTTCTCAATATAGTAAGACTTCGATACACTCAACAGAAGTGTACCAAAACAATAACCTTTGCTAATTTCTTCGGCAAACGTTTTTTAAAAAAATTTACTTCACACACTTTTTGAGATAATCAGAAGATAAAATTTGCCGGTTTGTACCGTACCCTCCTTTTGGAAGGGTACCGGAACGTTCACCTTCTCAATAAAGTCAATCATTGTGGTGGTAGCTGTGAAAAGTTGTGCATTACAATCGTTTCTTCCACGTACAAGACAAAGACACTAGCTATTAAATAATTACCAAAGGGGTTCTTATTTTTGTTTTTATGTGACAAAATATACAAAAGTTATCGCATGTGAATAAATGACTTTCGATGGCGTGCAGCCCTAAGAATAGTGGAGACAAAAATATAATTATTTGACAAGTGGTCCTCTATATCTACATCTAATCCTCTTAGAAAAGCATTCTATCACTAGCAGTTCCGTTCCCCATTTGTCTTCCTAGATTTGTTTGTATGTGTATTTAATCTAGTTCGTTCATTTTTTTTATTTACATATGTTTAATATAGGTCTTATTGCAATTTAGCATTGTATTTAGTTGTCGTCAAACTCTATTATTTTTATGTATTTGCATTTTTCACTTGCCTTTCAATTTTTTTAGTAGAAAACTACAACCCAAAATAATATATATATATATATATACATATATATATATATCGTTTTCTACTTGATATGTCGTGCAGTACTTTATGATTTATTGTAATGATAGTGATTGGATCAGATCAAATAATACATAGTTTATTTTCTCTCGTGGCAGCATGTCCATAAATGGGTTTGAGTTGATGATTCCGCTTGCGTTCTTTGCTGGCACAGGGTACCGCTTCTTCTTCACTTTCTCTAATATTAATCTCTCTGATTTTCCTTTTTTAAGAAGTAAATCGTTATCTTCATGTTTATTTATTTACTATTTTTGAGAAGTTAATCGCTTTCTTCCAAATTATTTATTTATTTATTGATAAGTCCAGTACTCTCTCTCTCTCTCTCTCTCTCTCTCTCTCTCTTTTCTATATAAATTGTTTATAGAGAGTGGCCGCCAGACCGAGACGCAGTTGATATTCACGGCGGTCCACCAGTTTGTCCAAACAGCTAATTAGCTGTTTTCAGACCCACGCAACATAGTTTAGCCGCTAGTGCGTTAATGAAATTCATAATCACCTAATTATGAATGATTATAAACCCTTTGATGGTTCGAAGATGTCACGTCCCGAACCCCGGGCCCGTGACCGGCACTGGGATCCACCGACCCAGTAAGCCTCAACAAAACCAGTCGAACTCCAAATATATAAAACATACACAAAGTGTAATAATATAACATCCAAAAATCACCCGGGATCCTGTCTGAGAGTCCAAGGAAGCTACTCTAGAATACAATCAGGTAAAGTACAAAAGAGAAATGCCCGTACATCCATCAAGTCCGCTGTCGTCGACTCCCACGCTGGCACGCTAACCGAGGTGAGTGCAGTCAAAAGAATCTGGAATGTTTAAAACTATGAGTCGCGAAACTCAATGAGTACGGATGATATCTAATCTATACATGTTGGGATATATATCACGCCACAAGTACAAAATCATACATACACGCTACAGTAGCACACCGTCCGCCGGCTGAGCCCTTAGCCACACAACTCATCTCATCGCGGGCTAAGGTACTTCCCGTACGCTACGGTCCACCGTCCGTCGGCTGAGCCTGCCATCCCGTACACATCACGTCACTGGGCCAGAATACTCCCCGCACACTACGGTAGCACACCGTCCGCCGGCTGAGCCCTTAGCCACACAACTCATCTCATCGCCGGGCCAAGGTACTCCCCGTACGCCACGGTCCACCGTCCGTCGGCTGAGCCTGGCATCCCGTGCACATCACATCACTGGACCAGTATACTCCCCGCACGCTACGGTAGCACACCGTCCGCCGGCTGAGCCCTTAGCCACACAACTCATCTTATCGCCAGGCCAAGGTACTCCCTGTACGCTATGGTCCACCGTCCGTCGGCTGAGTCTGCCATCCCGTGCACATCACATCACGAGACCCCTATCTCGTCTTCTCACGATCGGAGGAACCCACCATCTCGACGATCGGAGGAATCGCATTAGTGCATATCACATCCGCGGCCTCTGCCGCTTCACATCACACATCACATCACGGCCTCTGCCGCCTCACATCAGATGATACCATCCTCACATGTAGTCAAAAGCAGGTATACATAACATATACAGTTCACATCTCAAAACAAGTATCACATACTAACATAGCTCACTGACAGTTCACAAAACACATAACACATATCCCGGGTATAACGCATAATCAAAGTATTAAATCACATAATCATCATGTCCGAAAATCACAGTATGAAAACACAAGCATAGAGAGGGTATCATCACTCACAGTACAGACGCTAAGCCAAAACGAGAGTCCCGAGTCACCTAACCCGACTCAGTGATCCGAGTGTGCCCCTGCCTGCGAATCTGCAATCAAAATCACAGAAAACCATCACCAACGCCAAAACCGGCACGAGAAACAGGCTCGGTAGTCTCAACCGGACTAAAATCCTAAACTGGCCCCTTGGCACGCATCTCGAGGCAACACGACCAGTCGCCAAAACCTATGTGACTCACTAATACTGAAAAAATCTACTTAACCACCCTCAACACCGCAGAACCAGCCTCCACAAAACTCGAACCGCAACGAACCGTCTCCAAACCCTCGAACCGGTTTAGCCCGGTCTAAAACTACCTCTGACTCAACTCAAATGGCCAGGAAACCCTCAAAATCGGATTCATAAGGCCCAAAAACCCTAGGAACCACTATGAACCGCCAAAAATGGCTCAAACCAGCTCCGAACCGAGCCAAAAACCCTAACCTAAGCATCGGCACGCAAACCGAGGCCAGTTCACCTTGAACCGATCACCCAAAAACCACCAAACTTCACGGTTAACTAGGTTTTATCATATTGAACCAAGAACCGGTCCAAACTCCCCAAGAACCGCCCTCAAAACCAATGAACCGGTCACCCAAAGGATAACACACTAAACGGCCGGTTCACCTCGAACCGGGCATCCAAAATTTCCGAACCCACTTGATCTGATAGCCCTTATCCCCCGAACCCAGAACCAGTCCAACCTCTCAATTCCAAGCCAAAATGGCCACTAAACCGGCCGGTCAAAGCCCCTAGCCGGTTCAGTCAAACCTTTCCCTTTTTTCCCAATTTTTTTTTTTTTTTGATGAGCCGGCTTGGCTCGAGCCGCGGCTTGCGCTTAGCTCGAGCAGCAGCCCACGGCTCGGCTCGAGCCAACCAGCCCAGCGGCTCGGGCCCAGCCCAACTTCTTCTTTTTTTTTTTTTTTTTCACGGGCCAGCCCGCGGGCCGCACAGGTAATTGGGCTGGGCCCAGGCCAAACGGCCTGGACCAGCCCAGCACAAGGGACTCAGAACCCCCTCGGGTCCGTCCCTTTCACCCGGCACCCGGGTTGTTCAACCCGGGTGTCTGCAACGTCTGGCCAACCGGAAAAACAAGAAAAACAAACCAAAAACAAAGCCTCACCTCGATCAATCGGAGCAGAAGCTTGCAGAGCACCCTCCGACAAGCTGCACCAGCCGTTCAATCGGTAGAAAAGCTGCCGAAAAAGCCAAAAGCTCGCACAAGCTGTTCGGCCTTTCGCTAACCGAAAACTCTGAAATCTCTCCCTTCCATTGCTCAAAACTTTCGATTGAATGAGGGGTTCCATTTACCCTTCAAATACACACAATAACGTGCCAAAAGCCGATCGAATCATGGCAAGACGTGGCTAATCGACTGAGAATAGTGTTCGGCCACTGTTCCTGACAAAAATCTAGAAATTTCCATTTCAGTCCCCCAGCTTACTCCTTTTACAACTTAGTTCCTGAGATAATTTCAATTTGACCCCACAGATTTTAATTCCTACAATTTGGTCCTCCACCTTAATAAATTTCAAAAATTGGGTCATTACAGAAGAAGTCCACTAAAGGCGCGCATTGAACCGTTTAAATCAATTTAAATTTCCCAAATCGAGATGAACCGTTGGTGGAAAAACGACAAGCTAACCTTCCATATTGGTTTACCTAGATTCCAGAAAATCTAGATTGATGACCGCCGTCGTCTTGTCCATTCGTTTCATTGTCCTCGACGATCTAATATTTACATCAGTAATTAATGTCATTTTCTAGGTTAGGTAGAGTTAATAATTACTTTTACTGCAAAAAATTTTTTTCCCTGATATGACCCAGGGTTAGAGTTGCAAACGAGCTCGGAGCAGGCAACGGGAAGGGAGCCAAATTCGCGACGGTGGTGTCGGTGACGACGTCGGCGGTGATCGGACTCCTCTTCTGGCTGCTGATAATGCTTCTCCACAACGAGCTTGCACTAATATTCACCAACAGCGAGCCCGTCCTGAAAGCCGTGAGCAAGCTCGCTCTCCTTTTGGCCTTCACCGTTCTCTTCAACAGCGTTCAACCTATTCTTTCCGGTAACTCAGAAAAGAAGAAAAACCTTAATTTTCTTCGTATAGCTTTCCTGACTTTTGCCAGATCCGACTTTTCTTTCTTAGAGATTAACGTTGTTTACTTTGACTCGCGGTTTTTGCAGGGGTTGCTGTCGGGTCGGGATGGCAGTCGTATGTGGCGTATATAAATTTGGGATGTTACTATCTGGTTGGCCTACCGGTTGGATTCGTCATGGGGTGGGTTTTCGACACGGGAGTCATGGTACGTTTGTGGAAACTTATAATCATTAAGGCCCTGTTTGGTTTGTTGTCTTTTTGAGTTATTGAACTCAGTGATTTTCCAACTATTAGAACCTCAAATTTTTAGAAAAAATGGGCTGAACTAGAAAATGCTGAATATCAGGGAATATGGGCTGGAATGATTTTTGGAGGAAACTGGTCTCCAGACTTTGATATTGGCTATCTTAACAATCCGATGTGATTGGGAGAAAGAGGTAACTTCACATTACCAAACTTCCACAGAAATTCTTGCCCTCTGTTGAGGCTATTGTAATTTAATTATATTTCATTAATTTCGAATTGATTTTTCAGGCGCTGATAGCGAGCAGGCGTGTGAGGAAGTGGGCTAACATGGCCGAGGCCCAGCCCAAATTGGAGGCCTGATTCTTGATGAATACGGCGAGTGGTGGATTCAGCCCTCAGGCGTTAGATGTCCAAGTAATTGGGCCCTGCAATGGGCTCTAAACTGATCGACGCCAAACCAATAACATCCCATTTTGTCACCCATGAAACGAAAAAAAAAAGAATCCATTTAAGTGAAAACTAAGTTGTTAATTATGGGCTTCCTTCCGTCAGAAACCAAAAAAGGAAAAAGAAAAAGTTGCTCAGTAATATTTGAGCATAAATAAGGAAGAATAAGTACGTTGCTTATTCTGTCATCAGCTGGTTCGATTAAACCTGTATAAAAATGATATTTTCTCTAATTTTCTTTCGACATTTATTATTTACAAGGAGGATTTAGGGTGCTGCAAATTCATATATGTTTATTGGGCTGGTTTTAATGAGAGGAATTCTAAAGATCCATGAAAATAATAGTCTCTGAACATGGTTGAATTTTAAAATATAAATTCAAATTTATTCTGTAATATATTAAATAAAATTTATAAATATTTTATCACTTAAAGAACTTTTTAAAGTTAATTTAAAATTTTATTGTTGTAAAAAAAATATTTAGGGTTTTGTTATAATAACACTTGGGACAACAATAAATTTTGATAACTGAGAAATTTTGATTCAGTTTCTCTTTTATTTATTATTGCTTATCAGGGTTATTTTATGAATGTTTAACATGATATTATTTATTTACAACGCGCGGTACAGTAGCATAAATTAGGGGGGAGGAAGAAAGTAAAACAGCAAAAAGAAAAAATTAACGGTCATGGCGAATGTCCGCCCACTTCTTTACATGCTGACCTGCCTTCTCAGCCTGCAGTTTGGACCCAAAATTTGATCAGAGTTTTTCTACCCACAAAAAAGTTAATCTTTTCATAAATGTAAATTAGGCATAATTATTTACCTCCCTTTCCCAATCACAGCTAATGGTGATGATGGCCAATATCAATGTTTGAACTCCAGTTCCCCCAAATATCATTCCAGCCCAGATCCCCTGACATTTCATTCTCTTCATTTCACATCCCATGAGTTGAAACACAAGTTCAAGTAGGGCTGTAATTTAGCTCATCTAATTCATTTTTATAATCAACCAAGCTCAATTTAAATTTATATTCAACTTAAATTAACTTTTTCCTTCAAGCTAACTAAGTAACTTATCTGAATTAGGTGAAACATGTAGAATTTAAGCATGTTCCAAGTCAAATTAAAGTTATTTAGATTGCAGCCACCATGTCATGTTCTAGAGATTATAGAAGTGATACATGACAAATAAAACAACAAAAACAATTATTTGGAACTCTCATATTTTATCAAGTCACATGTACCTCGTTCATATATTGTATTTAATATTAGATACTGAGTGAGTCAATGAATTGAATATTTATTATATACTAATAATAATCTAATAAATATTAAAATTCTTAATTCAATAAGTTATGACTTAATATTAAATAAATTATTCAAATATATGACGTTAAAAATTACTTGAGTGGATTCATAATTTTAATATTTATTAAATTAATATCAAATATTAAGATTAATTCTGGTTCAACAAATGTGCGAAACTTGATGGGTAAATTAACCTAGTCACATAAATCATTCCTACACCTGCAGTTTATTGTATAATCAATACTCATTGAGGTAAAACGGATTTCATCTATTGGATAATCATTTACTCCAACTTCTCCATTCCCAGCCAGCCTGCCCCACCAATAGGACAGATTTGGGGAGTGCCAGAGGGGCTTGAAGGAAGGTTAAATCTCCATGTTTGTTTATTAAAACATCCAAATATACTATATTTATTTATAGAAAATTTAAAATTTTGGTACAAATCCACAATTTTCTAATATATCATGGTTAAATAGTAAAGCAAAACTCAATAATATTGTTTTTGCCATTTTCTTTGAAAATAATATACTAATTTTTTGAGCTTTTTTTTATATTTTTAAATATTTTAAGGTGAAAATCTTGATATAACAAAATACTATTTGAAAAATGGAGTTGGATCATCCACGTAGACCAATCTAAGCGACCTAATATATTTAAGCAAATAGGTAAATAGAGAGCGGAGTTATTCATTTTAAATTAAATCACCCATATAACTCCCATATATATACTTGCATATTAATACATCAAAAGAAAAGGAAATAAATATATTTATGTAATATATATATATGTGTGTGTGTGTGTGTGATATACTTTAAAACACTTCAACTTTATATTTAAGTTATGATATATAAAAATTATTTCAATTGTAAATATTTTCTAATCAAAACATTTAAAAACATCTAGTAAACAGTCATATAAATTACAATTCAAAGTATATATATTTTTGTAAAAGAATTAAAAATTTGTTTTACAAAAATAATAACAACTAATTCTCTTAGATGTATATAAAATAGGTTAAAAAAATAAAATAAAATAATTCTAGGATTTAACTACTCCTAGATATCCTATCCTAACTATTGTCTTTATCTAAAAAAATAATAATATAATGTAGTATAATATGTGCTCACAGAACTGAGTAACTTTCCAAATGAGTGAGACATTTGGGGCCCGATTTCAAATAATCGTGGTCCTAAAACTTGTGATTAGACAACTTCATCATTGACAGATTGACATTGAACCCACATGCCATATGGGATGATGAAGCAGGGATTAGTTCCTACCAGCCACAGATTTTTGGCAAAGTGACAAGGCCGAGGCCGACCCAAGTCTAATCACTTAACCCATGTCTGATAATTCTTGGAGGTGGAAGGTTTTTGAGATCATCTCATTCATGAATTCTTATTGCTTTTGTTCTGATTCTCATCTTGATTTTGTCTTATGTCTTTCTGTAATTCCTTCTTTCCATCATTCAACCTTTTGCTTCTTGATTTTGTTCTTATCTTATGAAATGAAATTGTAGTTAAATTTTAAGGTAGCATGACCCATCTTGTTCGCGTTCTCGAGTATCCTCCAATGTCACTTGGCTTGTCGACAGATTGTGGGTTAAGAAAAGAGTTTATATTCATTTATTCTTTTAATTGTACATCTTTCATTTGTCTAGCTAAGAATATTTATAGGATTCTAGTATACAAATTTACATAAAGAGAGGAAAAATTTGTAATTACTTACTAACCAAAAAATAATTTAAAAAATATTAACAAAATCTTCTTTACTAGTTCCACTACTCTCCCTTAATTTGTTAAAAAGGATCTTTTAGTGGTTTCAAATTCCCCCTTCCCTATGGTGGTCTTGCATGAAATTTGTAGCATGAGCTTATAAAATTTTTACCTGTATGCTCAATAATTAATAAAATATAGATAATTATCTTATTTTTTATATAATAAAAGTTATATATGTCTTTATTTTAAATAACTAGTACTATTACATATAGATTTTTATTAAGTCATCTCATCAACTTTGTATAAAGAGTGACAACTCATATACTTAATTAAGAAAAATTAAAGGTGATTCCATGTTTTTAAGCAAAGCTAAGAAGTGAAAACGTACCATAACTCCCATCTCAAAAGTCCATCCCAGAAGAATTCCAAGGGGGGACTCCAACGACATAGTAGCAAGCTAAGTTTATGTATGCCACGATAGATTGCCACCCTGCACCTACTGCCACCCCTGCCAAACATATATACAAATATATATATTTTATGTATATCATAACTGAATTTAAACATATTTATATTCATATAATTTTAAAAAATAATGAAAAAGGACATTCAAAAATTCCTTTAGAGACCCACAAGACCCCAAGTAATTCAAACTCTTTTCCAACTCTTTTTAACCATAAACACGAAGATTATGAACGATTTAGTGTAGGTGATACATATATTTTACTTTAATCGTTGACTTGGAAATTTACCTTACATAATTTCTAGATCACCCCTAAAAGAGAGCCCAACTATAACACTTTCTAGGAAAAAAACACTGCCTTGAAAATGAGTGAAGTGGGTAATGAAACGTAGGAGAATAGTTATGTATATGTACCGGAGAGAACTGGCTGAACACTGTTGAGGAGAATGGTGAAGGCTAAGTGAAGTTTGAGGTCATCTACCGCTTTGAGCACAGGCTCACTTGAAGAGAAGAGTAGGTCAACTTGGTTGTTGAAGATCATAATCACGAGAAAGAAGAAGAGGCCGATGATTGTGGATGTCACAACCGACACCGCCGCCGCAAACTTGGCTGCGCCTCCGTTGCCTGCACCGAGCTCGTTTGCCACCCTAACTCTGCATTAATCATACGCAACCATGGTCAAATAATAGCCCATTGATGGAGCCTGTGTTACACATAGGTTAAAAAAATAATTATCTACGCAAAATATTCCCCTGAATCTGAGGTCATTTTTATTTTTGGAGTTGTTTATTTAAAAATTGTATATCTTTAATCTCTTATATTGTGGAGCTTATTATTATTATTATTTGTTATTATTGTTGTTATTTTTATTATTTATAAAATTAATTTAATACTCTAATTCAAAATTTTAATTTGTAAAAATAAATTTTTTTATTAAAAAATTTTTAATCAACAAATATTGGTTAAAGTGATAAGCGATTTTCTATCCGATAAAAATGAGGATACAAATTCAATTTCTTCAAAGTATATTTTTTACGGAAAGTTTTAATCTTTTACATTTTTTACACGAAAAGGATAGTCTGAGGTTAATATTAACCTATAAATATCTTCAATTTCACCGAAAAGAAAATTAGGTGTAATAATTAATTACCCAGTTGCAGCCAAAAATGCGAGAGGAATCATCATCTCCCAACCGATGATGCTCATGCTGCCAAATTAAATATTTGAAGAAACCAAGTTGTCAACCCCAAATTGACAGAAAGCATGCGATGAAGAGATATTGTAGATATGAAGTGCAGCACTGCCAAACGCACCACTAGATAATTAAAATAAAAATAAAGTGGCTTGAAGGGTTTATTTCTTAAAGCTTGACAAAGGGAGAGACAATGAAGTGCATGAATGTACCAGATAGACAAAGCATCCAACGCAATCTCGGCATCTTTCAGATTTCCTCCCATCAATATCAAAAACTCTGTAATACCAATTCTCCAAACTGTTCCCAATCCCACCAATAAATAAATAAATAAATATAATAAGTTGGAACAATGACAAATTTATGTTATTATTACAAAAGAATTTTATTTATTGAAATAAGTTCTTAAAAATTATTTACAAAAATTTTTAAATATTGTTAACACTGACAAATCGGTATTTAGAGACCAATTTCTTATAAAAAATCGATTTCCAAGGAACTGATTTTAATAGGGAAATCAGTTCTTGGAGAACCGATTTTTCAACCGACAAATGAGAACGAAACTCTATTTCAAAATTCTATCCCGTGGAATTCTGTCCATAGAGTTTTGTAATAGAGAGAGAGGAGAAGTAAGGAAGAGGAAGGAAGAGAGGAAAAAAAATTGGGAACTCCTATGGAAGTTTGCATCAGAAGGAGAGGGAGGAGGGAGGAAAAGGAAGGAAAGAGGAGAGCCCCTGCCAGACGAGAGGTGGGAGCTTTGCAATGGATAAACTTTTTAAAAAAGTAAAATACAAAAAAAATCAGATTTTTGATTATTTTCAAAATTAATACGAGTAATTTTTGAAAAAATTAAAAGTATTTTTTAAAGTAAAGATTTTTTCATTATTGTATCCAAATGCAAAAATAATTTTTGATTTTTGTAAAAATTTTTGTAAAAAATTTATATTTTGAAACACTTTTTTAAAAAAGGTTATCCGAACAAACCCATAATAAGGTAGGCAAAAGAATAATTAATCACATGTGCAACATGCTAGAACTATGGTGTTGTTTCAACTTTAATAAAATAATATAACTATAACTAAAAACATAATTAAATGATCTAGTGATTCAGGAAACTACTAATAAAAAATTAACTAAGAAATAAAAATATTTGTGGTAAATTAACACCAAGGAAGTGTTGGATTGAAAAGTTTTTTTTAAACCTTAAACTTTTTTTTTGATATTAAAAGTTTATATAATTTGATTTATTATAAACTTTAAAAAAAATTTATATAAAAAATAATTTAATTTGAAAAGAAAAAAGAGACTTCCTTATTTGCAGGTTGCACGTTTCTAGGACTCCGTTCACAATAAAATTATCAGAAGAGAGAGAGAGAGAGAGAGAGAACCAGATCATGACCCCAGAGGCAGCGGAGAGTTTGAAGAAGTCCCCATAGACCAGAGAACGCTTGAATGGAGAAGCCTGTCCAAGTAAGAGGGCACCCCCCACAACAGTATAGCCAAACAAACCCAGTGTCAGAACCCACCACGAAAAGCACAAAGCAACCGCACTGCCAACCACTCCAAGCCCACACCCATATACGACCACCCAGCTCACAATCACGTGCTCTGCAAGTGCCGCCAGAGACACCCAGGCAAGCACCGCCGACTTCACTGGCTCAGCAAGAACCTCTGTAGCGGAAATAAAAACCCAAAACAAAAGTGGAGGGGGGATTAACCACAGAGCCACGGTACCGGCGAGCTCAGCCACATCTGAAGGCTGCCCTAAGAGTTTTCAAGACCGGAGACGCGAAGATAAATATGGGCAGTGCGAGGACACAGCAGAGGAAAAGAACAACCCATGAACGTTGCAGATATACGCCCATCATGTAGTACTGTCCCGCCCCGAAAGCTTGCCCGCATAGAGTTTCCAAAGCACTGGCCATGCCTAACTGGCAAATCAGTAACTAAAAATGTCAGAACAGAACATTAAGTTGCAGAATTGAAGTCCAGATAAATCGCTTTTTACAGCGAATAATTTTCAGGAAACATATATGTTCTAATGGCTGAAATTATGAAACCATTTGAGACAGAATTTTTAAATCACAAAAGGTTTTGGCCTTCGATTTATCGGAACTCCAAAACAAATAAAAGAACTAAATACTAACAATACAAGCGAGAAAACACTATTAATAAGGGGAGATGGACAAAGAAGATAAATATAGATAATTTTAAGAAAGAGGGACTACAAGCAGGCCAAAATCGAAACCAAGGATGACGTTATAGGCAATTGAAATAGCCGCGAGCTCAACGTCGCCGAGGTGGCCGGCGAAGGCTTGGGTGACGACGACCATGGAGTAGGAGGTGAGGCGGCTGAAGATGGCTGCGCGGATATGTTCCAGAGTTTCTTTGATTCAATCCACACCCTCCATGAGAACTTTGACGCTGATGAGCATCGTCCTCTCTAGCGCTCGATTGGACCGCAGAAGGTTTATCTTCCAAAAGGGGGACCATTGATTCCTTTCTAACACCTCCACTGATCGTATTTTAGAGGTGGAGATAGCATCTCTCTTCATGCTTCGTTCAGCGTTATATATTAACTAGGTTTTGAGTATGGAGACGTCAAGAACGGGAGTGATATTCCTTGCTATGACGTCACAAAATTATATACGTCAAAAATTCTGGATCATTTTCAAAGAAAGATGCGCAACATTACAAATGCATCCAAGCAACTAGCAGGACGATGACTGATCAACTTATATGTTGATCCAAATCTTTTTGAAAGCAAAGTAAACTCCTTCGTTGAGACATTTTTAAAATGGAGCATGATTACGTTAATAATCTCCCGGGATCCTATGAACACCAGAGAGTACCCAGAGCAACATGATAATCCACAACCGAACAGATCAAATCCATGGATGAAAATTGCATGACAACATATGTAGACAACCTACATCCAGGTGTTGCAATGCCACAAATTGCGAGTTCTTCAGGCATTTTGCTCAGATAATTGATGTCTAAATATCTAGGAAAAGGGTTTCATCAAGGGGCAACCTATGCCTTTTAAGCGTGAAAGATGATTAGGAAGGAGATAATTTAATAAGATGCAATGGGAGGACTCCACCTGGGGGGAAAACTAAGGATGAACGTATCAAAGTATAAAAAGGAGAGTAGGAGTGGAAATCAGCAAAGAACCATGAAGTTCCTAGAATCTCATAATAAAAAGCGCAGAACTAGAAAACAGGAGCGCAATTCAGTGAAAACGTATCACAGAACGCATTGGAGATAGTTAGAGCTCCGTCTGACCCACGACAACATCAGAAATGGCTCAAGATAACAAGGTGAGAAGGAGAGCAGACGAGGGTAGAACCTATTGTTGAACAAGCGGGTGTCAAAGAGAATGAAGTCCGGCGCCTTAAGAGAAAGTCTAATTGGCATCTCCAAATCCTCCGTAATGGCGGAGGCTATCGAAGGTGAGCTAATTAAAGAAGGCATTTTGAACGCTTTTGCTAGTTTAATTGGTGGCTTAGTGAAGGAATCGCGGCATCAATTGAAGTGCTTATTGGAGCAAGAGGAAATTTCGAGCCCATTGAAAACAATCGAAACACGAGTCGTGTTTTTAAAGTAGCCCACCTTGACCCAACTAGGGAAGGCTTTATGATTAATTTTGGTCCTAATGGGCCAAACCCAAAATAAGAATGAATGACGTCCATCTCGCAGTCAAGGAAGCGGAGCCTAACCCAATGGAAAGCAATCAGTCTTTAGCGTCAGAGACAGCGGGAAGGAGTTTTGAGTACGATTTTTTCTCAAGAATATTGTGGATTCAAAGGTTCCCTCTCCTTGAAAGCCGAGGGAGGATGGCCCAAAAATATCTAACTGGTGATAAAAAAAAGTTCTCTATAAGAAGAAAGAAGAAAAAGAAGAATATATCGAGAGGGGTAAGGTCGAAGAAGACGCTCAACTTTCAACATTCAAAGGTTATGGGATTGGAAGTGGATAAGAATGTGCTGTTCAGGGGTTTATATTGCTTTTATGAACTCTGGGGCTCTCTGTTAATGAGATTTTTTTTTGGGGGGGGTGTGTGTTCAGGGGTTTGGCTGTGCGATAACTCTTGGGTTTCTTCTTAACTTAGTATCAATGGAATTATAGTTCACAGGTGCTCTATTTTCTTTACTCGTAGAAGCACTGTTATTTTTCTGGCCAAACTAGGATCAATTTAAGGAATCTTATCCCAGTTTTCAAAAAATATATAAAAAAAAAATGTCAGAGGAAGACAATGAGAAGGGAGAGGAGGTAAGCGAAACAGAACTGAGATGTGTATGCATGAAGATTAAAGAGTCCCTTGAAGTTAAGGAAAGTGGTGAAACTCATGAATGGTTAAGATATCAAAATAATCAGGTGACCCGTATAATAAAGGAAATCCTTCGGGTGGTAATGTAATATTTTATAATTTGATTTTTATTAGAGTTATAAATCCAAGTTATACTTAGAGAACTTAATAATAATTCTATTTCATTTTAAAAGTAACATTAAACTTTGAACATGTTGATTACACATGAGTAAATTTAATTTTGTAAAATATTTTAGTATTGAAGTCATATTGCCACGCCCTAGCCTGGAACCTGATCGGTCTTAAGACTGACCTGTCAGCCCTAGTAAGCCTTAGGCCAGATTCATACAAACAAACCAATTAGTGTTAGCAAAATCGGCATAATAGTTAAACATAACCCAATTGAATTCTATTCTTCTCCAATTTTCACTCCACACATGAAATTACTTGGTGCCTTTGACCTTATAAGCATCAAAGACTCAAATCCCATGATTAAGGCCAACTGTTTTTACCAAATTGGATGAAATTTCGGCACCTATAGTGCTTGTCACACCTAACATCTTACAACCTTAAGGAGTATAACGGCGGGGCAATAACTAACACACCGCCGGGTAAATCCGACAACATGTTGGCTACTGTAACCCTTCTTAAGTTGGCCTTCAGGCCCTATGTCTAAGTACCTATTTAAAATCAACAATTTCAGAACATATACATAACGTGCAATAACTCATCCTGTATCAACATTTCCAATAATCATCTCATATCATGCCATATTCAAAACCATCATAAAATATTAAACTAGTTATAATCATCTATAAGTTCTCAAAATAACACAAACTTGTTTATAGTCATTCAAAATATAAAACAATCTCCCAATATACATAATTTATACCCAATCTATAAAAAATAAACAAAATAATCCTCGCGGTCTGGCCCACCTAGTGCTATAAAGGGAGCAAAACACAAGCAATACGAACATCGAGATTCTAACTTAATGCCTCAGCATCTGCAGGGGGAAAAATTAGTAGGTGAGACCAAAGTCCCAGTGAAGGGTAATCCAACTAATCTTAGTAGAAACAGTCACTTTTTATAACTATTTAAATAATATAAACAATCTCATAAGATTTTACATGAAGAGACATCACAATAAATTTTCTAGCAGTATAAAAGCTAAATTATTGGCCAAGTCATAATGCATAAGAAAGCATAAGCATGAATAATAAAAGTTTTCATGGGTATCATAGAAATATCATAAAGATCATATTCATAGTCATATGTATACCCTAGTCAGATGTGCACAACCGAAGGTGTCCTGGGGTAATAAAATCATAAACATAAAATGCGCCCTCATTGGGCAAAACATAAATATGTCGAACGCTACTACACTGTATAACCCGTGCTAGGAGTCGTCATTCCCTGGCTAAATTAACCTAGTTTTTTGCACATGATTCCTTTCATTAGGAAAATAAACATACATATATTATGTAATGCAAGTAGAACTGCCACCTACCCTAGATGGCTACCCAATATCATGGTTTAGGTGCTAAGTTACCAAAATAATATAAATTCATGAAAATCATCAAATTGAGCATATAACCAAAATCAAATTATAGCCAGACTGTTTCTCATGTTCATATTAGTAACATACAATTATGGTTTAAGATGATCATTATTCATTTCAATTGTAGTTTGGAAAAATAACTAGAATTAAGAAGATTCTCACTCACCTTACAAAATAAAGCCTATAAAGGTACTCCTAGAGCTGTAGGTGTAGGTCTAAAGTAACTAGAGTATCCTCTCCTATAAGGGGGATATACAAACATGAAGAAATACCCTAAAATACATCATATGAAAATAATAACCATACCTTACAATGTATAAATACAATTTTCCTCCCTTTCTAACGTTTGGGTTTCATCAAACATGCCCTTATTCCATTTTCCTCTATTTCAACTCCAACTAAACATGCCCTAATCTCATTTCAACATCATCTCATCCATTTCTCTCACATTTCAACCATAAATACTTTATTCAAGGTTTTAATCCAACCATGAAAACATAAATATCCTCAAATAAAATAATATCTAAATGTACTTTAACTAAAAATATCAAGATTCGTTCAAAATATCCCATAAGTGAGAGTAAATCTACTTTTCTCTCTCTACAACACACAATATCATCAAAATACAAAAATTTACACCGATTAAAAGCTATAAAATGAAGAGAGGAAGCTAAAATGTAAAAATATTGAAGAAAAACCAAATGGTTTGAGATTGGGCCATTTTACATACTTTCTTCTCTTATTTCTTGTTTTCCTCTTCTCCACTCTCTTTCTCTCTAAAAGCTGCGAGAATGGCTTATTTGGTAAGCCTTAGAAAGGTTTAGGGTGTTTAAAGAAAAGTTATGGGGCAAAAAGACTAAGTTGCCCATCTTCTTAAAACCTTTCAACTTTTAGCCCTTATAATTTTTAGATTAATTTTGGATACCCTAGGATATCTCTCAAATCTTGTTTTTATAGTTTTTAGGAGTTTAAGAGTTTAGGGGTCTTTGGGATTGTTAAAAAATATAAAATTTGAAGAAAAATGCCAAAAAACGTGACCTAGCACTTATAGCGCGGCCTAGCGGGCCAAAACTCGTGCCTGCCGCGGTATAGCGCTTGGGCAGACTATAACAGGCAGAAACGAGTGTACAGTGCTATGGCGCGCTACATTAGTAACCCGCAACAATTTTATTTATTATTATTATTATTTTTTTTTTACAAAAACTTACTTTCTCTCAAAACATCCAATACACTTCCTACCTTCCAAAACTCCTCAAAATTCCCTTTAAATAAAATTAAAAACTCAAACAAAAGTGGTTTAAGTATCATTTTTCTTTTCTTCTTCTTTTTTTTTTTTTTTTTTTTAAGGAGTTGGTTTTGGGTGTTACAGAGTTTGGTTGATGACCAACCAAACTTTCAACTCTGTCACAATCTGATTCTCCTAAGTTTGTTTTCCTTTCAATTTAGCCTTGCTGGCATCTAATTCTAACCCCCAAACTTAAGTGCCTTTCAATTCCGGTCCTCCCTCTTCCATTTCTTTCAATCCCACCTTGAAAATTTTG